AGAATAATAATATTTATTTAAACGAAAAATAAGTTCCTTAAAGATGATGTTAATGCATATATCTTTACAAATTTTTAGAGCTTTTTATTCTGCATCCTTACAATATACCTAGTTACTTTTCTGCAAAGATGTTCTATTTCTTCCTAAGAAATATCTAATAAAAAGAGATTGTTTAAATAAGCTATACTTTTGGAAAGTACATAATAAAAGATAGATCTCTACAAAATCGTAGCCCTTTTAAGAATTCTACTATCAAACTCATACGGTAACGGTTTTAGTTTTGCTTGTGTCATCATCCAATTAACAAATTATCCTATTGATGATAGCCCAGTCCTAATTGTCTATTATTTTTCTTTTCTTATGTATGTCGGTATCATTTTATTGATTCTCTATTTCATTAGCATTTCAAGTATATTTTCAAAGAACATTTCAATAAAAAAGAAATCTCAATACGAAGCTGTATTTGATGGAATAAATTAAAATATTTGGACTTTTTAATACAACTCAATTTAAATGATTAATAAGTTAATATTTATATCTTTAATCATATTTCTGTAAGAGAATGGATATATTCAAGTTAAAGCAATATCAATTTTATAAACATTTTTTATGATGCATATGATTTTCAATAAACCATTTTATTAAAATTGTAATTACTGAGACAATCATTATTTTTAATGTATAGACATTTTTAATTTACTACAAAATTTTATTAGAATCAATAATTATTTTAAGGTGGCTCCATATTTTTACTTCTTCCTCAATTTAAGCTATAACCTTTCTTCTTGACTTTATGTAGTATAATTATTATTTGTTTTTAAAAAATTTTCAAAAATAGATACTAAAAATTAAGAAGATAATTAATGTTATCAGAGATTCAATTAAAAAACCTGAATAGTAATTAGAGCCTACATTTTACTGAAAAAAACATTTCGAATGTTTGATTCATCTAAAATTTATGATATTATTTAATTTTTATCTTTATTATTTTATTAATATTTTATATTTGCTAAGTCATTTAATTTATTTAGTATTTGCAGAATCAAGTAATTATGAAAATTTTTTAAATATAATAAATATTAAATTTTCAAATATTTTAAAATTAATTTAGGTAAATGATATTTATTATAACAACTAATAACTCTCCAACAATTTAATTTTATTTTTTTTTTTAAATTAGTACTCTAATTAAATTTCTTTATAAAACATAAATATATAATTAATTTCTTGATATATATACATCGTTTATTATGTTTTTTCTATTATTAAACTGATTTCAGGTGATATTCTTGATATTCTATTTTTTATTATTCTCCTCAGAACTAGAATATTACAGGAATAATTTGTGAATTGCTCTATTTTTAATTTTTAGCTAATAACTTAATCACATTATTTCTTTCTCTAACTCAAAAAAATATCTAACAAAATCATAGTATGAATTATATTTAAAATAGTAAAGCTATATTTATGCTATGAAAATTGGTAATTTACTATTTAAACCCAAGAATAAGTTTAACCTATTCATTGGTACTGTATAATAGCAAAGATCAAATTAGTAATGAAAGCAAATAGGATTAGTTAATAGTTTAAAGGGATGGACATTGTGATTACAATTAAATAACAAAAATTCCAATAATCTTTATGTGTTGATTGTTTCAAAGAGATATTAATATTATTAAATGTATTATTATTATTGAGATTTAAATTATATCAGAATTATTTACATATAAAATAAGACAACATCTATATAAAGTATTGAATTAAATTAGTACGCATTATTAAAGCAATTAAAAATGAACTATGAAATTAAAATCTTTATAAATTTATTTAACATCACATGAATTCTGATAGATTAAATATTCAACTTAATCTTAAGGTAATTAAGATTCATAAAAAGATTGAACTGTTTAAAGAGAATTTTAATGCCATTTCTCAAATGATTAAGTATTCATTTGCATAATAAACTTGCGCGTAATAGACTTACTTATGTTTTAATTGTAATTGATTAAATGTTCATCTGATTCAATTTCCTGCTTGTTAAGAAGATTTTACTTATGTTTCTGATAGTATATGTTACAATTCTGATGAATCATTTATAATTTTACACACTTAGGGATAATTTATTTATATTTTTGATGAAGCTATTTAAAGAATGTAAACTAAATTTGTTACTAATAAATAATAGAAAAAAATATTAATCTAATAAGCTACCAATTTTAAGAAATGAACAATAAATAAAATATTTGACATGGAAAGGTAGAAATGCAGATTAAAGTAAATCTACTGAATTTTGATTTTGGGATACCTTTTGAAATGGAGAGAAAGTAGGAGATTTTATAATTAAAATGAGTTAAAACAGGGTAAATGGACTGAATTATTTGAAAATTATTGTAGGTATAATATTGTTACTATAAGTAAGCTTTGCTCGTCTTTATTACATAGGAGAATTTTTAAATGGAATTAAGAGAGGAAAATGGTTGATGGTGTTATAATGTAATTAAATATAAGATCATTTTTTAGTTGTGAAGGGTCTTATGATGATAAAGGATATAAGACTGGATATTGGACTGAATTACATGACAAAATTTCTATGTATTATTTGTAAATAAAATGGTTTTAGTCACAATCAAACAATTTTTAGGGGTTAATTTGAAAAAGGTCGTAAAATCAATAGATGGGATGCAATTCAAAATTTTACAAAAATGTATATATCTATCAAATAACCTACTTTAGAGCAGGTGGGTATTATGATTAAAAGGGTTTTAAATAAGGTTAGTGGGAAGAATTGTGCCAGAGATTTTCAAAGTATTTTATTATATACTTAAACAGTTACCCATATTTTTGAATATGGAGAATATAAGGATGATTTTAGGATAGGAAAATGGTTAATTATAAAGGATGATTCTATAATGTAAGTAAATCTACAAAAACTTAAAGTGGCTCAAATGTTTATGATAAAAATGGCTTGAAATAAAGCAGATAAATAGATATAATCTTAGATTCTTCTAGGTATAAGAGATAAATAATATTTTTAACAAATATACTGAAATTGAATTTGAGGGTAAATACATTAATGGAAAAAGAGTAGGACAATGGGTTTATGTTTTAAATACTAGATATTAGTAAAATAGGATATTTTTGTGCTTATTTTTAAATTATTTGAAATGAACTTGGGTTATTATTGATAAATCTTTCATTTTTTACTTTAACAAAATATTTATATATATTTACTTTTTAACATTATAAGTTGTAAATATAATTTATCATTTAACAATACACATTAATATGATTAAAATATAGAGTTTGAGGTGGCTAATATGATTTTGATAGACTAAAAACAGGGGAATGGGTTGAAATTCAAACATAAGGTTATTAATATTAAAGTTTGTAATTTTAGTAAATTTTTAAGGGAAATATTATAAAGGAAAAAGATTCAGAAAATGGAATTAAAAAAAAAAATTATATAATCTTAACTATAAAAAATTAATTGTTTAGTGCTGAAGGTTTTTTTATTTAAAATGGAATAAAAACAGGAATATGAACTGAATTGTTGAATTTGAATGAAAATAATTGTTTAAATTATTTATTATAAGAAAACCCTAATTAGTTAAATTAAAAGGACAGTATGAAAATGGAAGGAAAATTTGAAATTGAATAATAACATTTAGAGATAAAAAATTGTAATATCACTGTTATTATAATTAGGGCAGGAGGATTAAATAATGAAAATGGATTGAAATATGGAAAATGGATAGATTTACAAGAAGGGTTTTAGGAGTAACTGTTTTTATAAATACTTTAAAAAAGATTTAATTAAAGCCCTAAATATGACAGATTATAAGAACGGTCAAAAAATTGGATTAGAAGATACTTAACTATGGGGAAAATTGATGTATTATTCACAAAATTAATTAGTGCTGGAGGAGTTTATCATAATTTTGAATAATTTGGAATATGGATTGATTTAAACAAAAATGCTATGTAATAATTTAAACAGATAATCAAATAAGTTGTTAAAAAATGAAAAGTATGGGAACCTACAATAATGGAAAAAAGTTAGGAAAATGGATGTTGTTATTTGATAATAAAATTATGTATGAATAACATGAGGTATTTGTAGAGAATGTGGGAATTATGATGAATCAGGATAGAAGAATGGAAAATGGGAGGAACCGCATTCCTACTACTTAGAGTTTTAGAATGTATTATTTAAATTTTAATAATAAAGTGACTTTAATTGGTACTTAGGAAAATGGAATAAAAATTGGAAATTGGGAACTATATTCAGAGGATTATATTTTGTATTACATTTAATTTTTTTATATTAGTGGTGGAGGAGCATTTGATGCAAATGGTTTAAAAATTTCAAAATGGATAGATTTACA